GCTATGAAAAGTGAAATAGAGGGGACCAAGTGTGAAGAGAAGGAAACCGAGACTCAAATCAATGGTTTGGACCAGAAGGAAAAAATAAACATTCAACCAGAACAGAATGAAGAAACAAGAATTCAAAAAAGCGAGGAGAGGCTTAGGAACATTCAGTACAAGTTAAACATTCCAACACCCAAATCATAGGGGTGCCAGAAGGAGAAGACGCGCAGCAAGAAATTGAAAACTTGCTTGAAAATATATTGAAGGAGAACTTCTCCAATCTGGCAAAGGAAATAGACTTCCAGGAAGTCCAGGAAGTCAAGGAGTCCCAAAAACTTGGACGCAAGGTTGCACACACAAAGGCACATCATGGTTACATTAGCCAAGGTTAAAGAGAAGAGGAGAATCTTCAAAGCAGCAAGAAAAAGGAGACAGTTACCTACAAAGGAGTTCCCATAAGACTATTAGGTGATTTCTCAAAAGAAACCTTCCAGGCAAGAAGGGGCTGAAAGAAGTATTCAACAGTCATGAAAGGTGAGGTCCTACATCTAAGATGACTCTGTCCAGCAAAGCTATCATGTACAATGGATGGACAGATAAAGTGCTTCCCAGATACGTGAAGTTAAAGGAGTTCATCATCACCAAGTCTTTATTATATGAAATGTTAAAGGGACTTTTCTAAGTAAAAGAAGAAGATCAAAAGTATAAATAGTAAAATGACAACAAACACAACTATCAACAATCAAATTGAAAAAAAACTAAGCAAACAACTGGATCAGGAACAGAATCACAGAAATGGAGATCACATGGAGTGTTATCAGCAGGTAAAGGGAGAGAGGAATGGGGAAAAGGTACAGAGAATAAATAGCATAAATGGTGGGTAGAAAACAGACAGGGGAGGTTAAGAATAATATAGGAAATGGAGAAGTCTAAGAACTTACATGTAGGACCCATGGACATGAACTAAGGAGGGTGAGGAATGCGAGTAGCAGGGCATGTGCAGGGTGGAGGGGAAGGTATGGAATGACGTGAGACAAAAATAATAGCCTAATCAATAAGATGTATATATTTTTAAAAAGCCCTACAGCTGGTATCTTCTTGATGGGTCTGCTTCCAGGAGCAGATGGTTTCAACTCAAGTGCGTCCTGGAACTAGAGGCTCAGCTGGCAGAGAGTCTGAAGCTGGGAAGGGAGATGTGGAGTCTCCCTTGTCAATCTTGAAATGCCAGATGACCTCAAGGTGTCCTGGGTTGACATTTACACTGGAAGTTTATTTGACATTTATCTAGGCTTCCTCCATTCACTTGAAGTCATTCAAGGGGAGCAGTAACAGGGCAACTTAAAAACATTCCCTGAGCCCTGACCAGTATGGCTCACTTGCTTGGGTGTTGTCCTGCCAAGCAAAAGGTCACTGGTTTGATTCCAGGTCAGGGCACAGGCCTGGATTGCAGGTTCCTTTCCCAGTCAGGATGAACCAGAGAGAACCATTCCATGTTTCTCTCTCACATCGATGTGTCTCTCCCTCACATTCTTCCTCCCTTCTGCCTTCTCAAAACATACATAAATAAATTCTTTTAAAATAATATCTCCTGAATCTCATAATTAGATACTTTCATGTTCACTTCATGGAAGGCCCCCTGTGGGACTCAATCTGACAAACTCGTGTATTTGGGGGACAGTGCTGCCAAGTCACCAGAGCAAAGAGTGGTCAGAGGAAAGGTGACGGTACAGAGAAGGGGCCAGTAAAGTTCTTCTCTGTTGGGCTGGGTGGGAAATACCAGCATTTTACATCTTGCAGGACAAGAGGCAAAATTAGGGTATTATGTAGGTACTGACACAACAACAGAGAAAGAATATTTCCACATTTTTCGATAAAATTCAAATAGAACATTGACTACAATTTTTCTTTTTGGAAATACAGATGTATTCCTAAGAAAAATGGATTCCTTTTTTTTAATAAAAGTCTTGAAAATTTACTCCACTGGGGTGAAAAATAGTGTTCCTCATATTGTGTTGATTGCAAATGTCTCAGCTCACAGGCAATATGAAAATAGTCAGTGGGATGGGCCTTAGTTCTGTACCAATTTCAGGTACAGAAAGTATGGTTTCAATATTTAAGCATCCCTGGAGGTTCTGGCTGAAGTTACCAGGAGAAGACAAAAAAAGACAGAGAGAAGCCTAAGTATTGGAGCAGGTACTTTCCCACTCTTTGCAATACTATGATTGTATACCTATAAAACCAAGGGTCCGCAAAGTATTGGGACTAATTTGATTATAATTATTGAGAAATTCTTCAATGTTGCTAAAGTATTCATATTATAAAAATCAATCACATTTCTCTATACCAGCAAAGACTCATGATAATAACTAATCATTAACTAAACAAACAGCCTTTTCATACAGATGGTGCCCACACGGAAAAAGGAAGCTCCTGCCCCCTCCAACGCCAAAGCCAAAGCCAAAGACAAAGCCAAAGCCAAAGCCAAAGCCAACACCAAAGCAAAGGCTTTGGAGGCAAAGAAAGCAGAGTTGAAAGGCATAAAAAGCCACACACAACAAAGATCTGCATGCCAATGACCTTGTCACAGTCAAACACTGTGCCTTAGGAGGCAGCCTTAATGTCTGGCCCAGGAAACCCAAGCTTGACCACTCTGCCATCATCCTGTCCCCCTTCCACCAAGGGAGCCATCCATGAAGAAGACAGAAGACAATGGCACACTTGTGCTCACTGTGGGTGTCAAGGCCAACAAGCACCAGGCCAAACAGGCTGTGAGGAAGCTCTACAACACTGACATGGCCAAGGCCCACGCCCTCCTCAGGCCTGATGGAGAGAAGAAGGCATGTGTTCACCTGCCTTCCCCATGTGATCATTTGGAAGTTGCCAACAAAATTGGGGTCTCTAAACCGAGGCCAGCTGACTAATTCTAAACTTAAATATTCTACACTGTAAAACAAATTAACTGGTGAAACAAATAGGAGTTAACAACCAAGAATACACTAGAAAGCTACCAAGGAGAAAATTTTAAAACTCTGAGAAAGAACGCAGAAGGTGATGTGAGTACACTGACAGACAGGGGGCTCATTGGTTTTGGTCCAGGGACCGAGGGTCAGATGTCTGACCTCTAGAACTGCAAGACAATAAACTGGCTGTTTTGGCCTCTAAGTTCCTGGTGACTGGTTCCAGCTCAATCAGGAAACTAATGCAGGACCCATGTCTCCCGTCCAGCTGGAGCCCGAGACCAGAGCTTCCTCACTGTATTTCTGATGCACAGGCAGAGTGAGCTCTCAGACAGAACTGAGCATGTGTGACCTAGTGAGTAATCCCATTCACACTGTCCTGACTTTGGGATTTCTCCTGTGGTGCTCTTTGCAACAGGTTTGTTTCCTCTTTCCTTAACCAACTCAGTGTATCTCCAACCCTAAGAATGCATTGATGGACAGCGGTGTGATAGGTTGATACAGAACTAAAAAAAAAAAAAAGAAAAGTTGTGTCATTTAAGTGTCATAGTAGAAAAGACCCAATGGGAGTGACTGTGACCTTGACCCTCCAATGCCTGAGCAAGGGATCAAGATGCAGTCGCGTCACTCCCATTGAAAGCTGATTTTGCCATAGCTTTCATTCAATTCCTGGTTTTATTCGATATCCTAGAAAATCAAAATACAGGTTTGAAAGTCAGTACCTTTCTCCATGTGTGCCTTTACATGAAATAATAACCAATCTGGGTGACAAGAACAAGACAGTGGAATAGGAGGTGCCAGCCCTCATGTCTCCATGGAAACACCTATTTCAAAAACCACTTGTGGGTGAGAATGCCTTACAGTTTATGGGACTCTGGGATATAGCTGAGGTCCCACCACCCATGGTCCTCCGTAATTCAATAAATCCAAGACATTGATGCAAGGAAGAAGGTGAGAAGGACAGATTCCCTTCACCAGAGTCACCCCTCCCAAGGCAGCACAGCACTGGCACCTCTGGGAGCCTGTTAGAAAGCAGAGACTGAGGCACCACCAAGACCTGCTAACTCAGAGCTGGCAGTTCCTCACAGTCCCAGGTGATTTGTGTGCATGTTCTGAGAAGCACTGCATGATCGCACACACGGGAATCCATAAATGATGTTTCTGGTTGTCCTCTGTGTTATTTACCGTTTATGTGAATGGTGTCATGCTGCATGTATCTGTTCTTCAACAAGCACTTTCTGAGATCACACCATGCTAATATGGATCTACTACATTATTGTTAACTTGTTGAGGAAAATTCCCATTTATGTTGCTACTCATGAAATCTGTTAGGAAATGGACTATCAGTGGCATAGACATAGTGAAATCATGTACAAATGGCCCTTGGGCTGTCGGGGGGAGTCGTCCTTCCCAAGGAATATCAATCACCATTTATGGCTGTAAGACTAAGTGTTACATACCCAAGAGAAAACAATGTTTTTCAAGTCCTGAGCCTCGATGTCAGTGAGAACACTCAAGGTAGCCTAGCCTGACAAGGGCACTGTTTTATGAACAGGGCATCAGTACAGAATGGGAAGGGTCCTTCACCCTAATTTGAAATGATGTTTATATTCTTAATATACCTAGGGACACTAGCATCTCACATAAGACATGCACAGCAGATACCAGTGGTGGTGAGGGATGTTTTCTGACCTCTACTCCCTCCCAACGTGGGGATGTAGAGAAGCCACATGAGGAGGCTGGTCCCTGACACCTGACTCTCCTGTTCACCCTCGGAGCATCTATCTCCCAGTGCCACCCTGAGAGGAGAATTCCAGGATGGGGTAAGCTCTCGGGCAGTTCCTAGTTTGCTTTATCGGGTCACTAAGAAACAGGCCAATCAAAGGGCAGGCAGCGCTCACAGGGATGCAGAATGACTGCAGAGGTGAGAGAATCCTGAAACCCAGGGAAATTCTGAGGGGCCAGAGGAGCATTATGGGCACAGGGCCAAGGAGCCCCTCGTGGGCCTGCTGTCAGCTCTCAGTCTCTCATGTACACACAGACAGTCACACAACTAACTGCATGATATGTGATTTATTGACCAGGTAGAAGAAAGTGTTGTTCATGGTAGAGTTCTCCCAGGTATGGCATAGGGAGTTGGAAATTTGGAGAAAACCTTTGGTTCTTGGTGAGTTGATGAGTCCTTTCTAGACACATTGAGAAGATGCTGAAGATTCAGAGATAATGCCTTCCTGGAGGACAGTGCTGGAAATCAGGTCACAGAACTTCTCACAGGATGATATGGGGACCATGGAAGGAAGCACTCACTGGCCACTAAATAAGCACATGAGAGAGAGCACCCAGAAACTCATTAGCACTTCCTGGATTGAACTGAGGACAGACAGAGTTTCCACTACAGAGAAAAGTGGTGAAGATGCAACTAACAGCCTGCTATCTAACCCAGCCTACTTGCCAGAACAGGGGAAAGGAGGGTATTGGGCAATGATTTTCCTTTTTCGGTGACTGTTCCCATTTTACCATTCCCTAAACTGAGTCTGTGAAAAACACAGAGGACTCAGTGGAGGACCCAGGCTGGTTTCTACCATCCTCAGCATTAAAAGTGTTGCTCAAGTTTTGATAAGTCAAGAAAGAATGGCAACAACCACAGTTACCATTATTAAATGCTGCCTTTATGCAAGCCATACTTGCTAAGACTTTCCCAAATGTTACCTGAATAAAGCCCCACAATATAGCTGAGGGAAGAAACACAGGAGGAAATTGAGGACCTATTTTCCAGGGGTAGGACAAGGGGAAGGTCAGACAGCTCACTTCCAGGTCAGAAGGTCAGGATGTGCGGAGGTCAAAGGAACATGGTATTCCCAGAAATGGGAGGGTGAGACCAAGGGCGAGGCCTTGAAAGTTGGACAAATCCCAGAGGTGTGTTTGAGTTTGACACCCGCACCCTGGTACTCTTGCCCTGTTTCACATTTGAAGTGTTAATGATTTTAGGAGATTATCAGCTCCTGAGGCCTGCTCAGTAGCAGGAAATCCACACAGTGACCCTGTGAGGGGCACATCGTTGTCTGTTCCTTTCAATCCTGAGGCCATTTGCTCTAAAGCTCATGAAGGGGTGGCTCCTGAACCAAAACTCCCAACTCCAAATTCAAGCTCACTCCACAAGCTTCGTCACCAAATGTGTGTATTTGCAACTTTTGAGCATCAAGCCCTGCTGGTTTTGGAGGGCAGGGACCCCTGGGCTGCCCCAGCCCCCTCAGACAGCACCCACCTGGAGGCCTGGGCTCCGTGGCTCCCTCGAGCGTGGAGACAGCGATCTGCAGAGGCAGAACAGAGCACAGTCAACCAGCAGCCCCTTATTTCCCAGAGAGAAACCAAATGAGTTTCTAGGACAGAGGGGCCCCATTGGAGGTGTTACCTTCTCTTGCTTTTCTCCAGTCAGTAACACGGGGACTTAGGAAGTAGGAGCTAAACTTACCAGCGTTGGTCAGATCCACTACATTTTCCTTTGGTATTCCATACTTTTGGCAAAGTTCCTCAAACCTTTTCTTGATTTGTGGACTCACATCTGGGTTTCTGGCTGTGGGAAGAGTGACAGTAACGGCTGTGACTTTGCATTGGTCATGGAGATCCTTGGGACAGGGGGACAGATGATGGGAATGGATGGCACTGACTGGTGCTTAGGCAGAAGGGAGGGAGGGGCTGTCTCCTGTCTTGGCTTTGACATCTTAGGGTGTCCTTCTACACTGTGAGAGATTTCATCACCTTCCCATCACCTCCGAGCTTGGGGGTTACCCATGGTCAGCACCTCTCTTTGGCGGAGGACAAGTGGCCCAGGAGAAGATGGGAGGACTACTCGTTTTCAGGTTTGCTTTTCTCCCTGTCTCTCCATCCCAAGGTGAGTGTCAGAATAAATATACCCTACCATACAGCATCATCACGTTGGCTGTTTCCTGAGTGGTGAAGTTAATGATATGAAAAATGAGATAGTCACTGTAATCTGCTTCAATTAGGGTCATTGTAGCAAATCCAGCATCTGTAAAGGTAAGAGAACACAGGTCAGAACTTTTTAGGTCCATGGGAAGCAAGGGAAACTCTTCTTATAACCTTTTACAGAACAAACTCAAGTGTATATCCTGGAGAAGACAAAGAGTGATATCTAAGGCCTTCTCTTTGCATATTTCTGGGCGTCATGTGGTGACTTCTTAGGGTAGAACTGAGTAGTGGTAGAAATTCCACCACTGTTCAGTGGCCAGTAGTGGTAGAAAAATTCATCCACAGTGGTAGCTTCCCCTCTGCCATCCTCCCTGAGGCTCACTTACCTCCCTCAGCCTTCTCTGCCTACTATGTGTCTCTGTCCTGCCTGGAAGCCCACCGGCATCTCACCCCCAGCACTCTACCCAAGCAATGCGCTGTGTCAGTGAACACCAGGAATCATCGGAGAGTGGGCAGAGAATGAGCCACTCTCCTGACAATTTACGGTTATTGTTTTTTGTTTTGGTTTGGTGGTTTTGCCCGTTTTATTTTGTTGCCAGTGGTAAATGTGACCTAATTTCCATCCTATCCTATGGTCTTATGTGGCAGGTACTGGTTTTGCACACAAGCTTCTCCCTAACAAAGGGTACTAGCTATCAGATGGCCTGCATTATATTACCTGTGTAAGCGTTGGTCAGGAATTGATCAAGATCCCAAGGAAACTGGAGTTTCATAAATTTCTTGCAGTTGGAAGGAGAATTTACAAAGACTTTTTGTGGTATACTCACAGATAGTATTGCATACACCATTCTGGATTGGTTCACAAATCAAAGTAGTTTCAACACACTCTCCGTTAAACCTGTAAAACAGAATAAGCCGATGCCCACCAGGTACTGATGGAGCTGGCTCCCTCACACTCCCGTGAGTGTCTGACTCTAAAGAACTGTTGAACATTTTTGGTAAAGATTTGGAACAGGTTTTATTGATCTTATTTCACTTTATTTGATACTTTAAGGAAGAGTCTACTACCAATTATCACTGTTACTCCCCCACTGCTTTGCACTGTTACTATTACTACAGCTGCCTGTCTAGATAATGGGCTCAGAGGTGCCAGCGTCTCAGATAAATAACTACAAACATTGCTTCACTCAGTCCTCAAAAAGAAAAAAAAACATAAGATAGAATTATTATCATCCTCTTTTACCCAAGGGAAAATTGCAGTGGAAAAAGAGAAAATTTCAGGTCACACAATGAATAAAAAAATAGTTTTAAGAGAGAGCCAGGCTCTTGATCCCCAATCCTATGCTCTTAACCTAAACTATATTGTCACACTACTTATGATTCTGATCCCCTCTGCCCCTCACGTCCTCTACTCCCATTTAAACCTATTGCTGTCACCAGTTCTCACCTCTGAATCTAGAGATGTGGCAATGTCCTCAAGTCTCAGATCAGTGCCTGATAAGGGACTCTGATTTGGACACAGGCCCACAAAGTATGTGTTTATCTGCATGTGTATGTTCTGTGTGTGTGTGTGTGTGTGTGTGTGTGTGTGTGTGTGTTTAGTCATTCAAGACTGTGCTTGGGTTTCTGTTTTCCCTTTTCCAAGTGAATAAGACCACACTTACCTTATATACAATTTCATCTCCATAGGAGAGTTGTCTGAGGCTTGGATGGATTCCACAAAACCCCTCATAACACTATTTTCTTCAATGGTTTCTTTGATGTCTGAGGCCAAGAGAATGGTATACCACTCCCCAGAAATCTGCAAATAATCAGTAAAATGTTTGGGAGAGAAAAGAAGAGACAGGACCCTGCATGAATCCTGTCTCCTTGAACTCTATCCTCTGGGCCAGGCCTCACAGTGGTGATGTGAAGGTGGCATTAGAACTCAGGTCGATGGGCACCCCACGTAGGGCTCTTTCTACTGCCCCTGCAGTGAGAACAGAGGTCCCCAAGGGTTGTCATCTTTCCGCATGCTACATCCGCTCTTGGTCCAAGGTCAGAAACCACCCCCTTTGCCTAACATCGAAAATCCTCACTCTCTGGAAGAGCCACCTCACTTCAGAGTCCCCCAACCCACCCCCAAACTCAAAACTCCCCGCTTCCCCAACTCTACCTTTGACATGTCAAAGTTGCTTGTCACAATGTCATGGTTCTCTCCATGGTGGGCACAGACCAGGGTCAGCCCCAGACACAGCAGCAGCAGCTTCATCTTGGGAGGGACAACAGCAACTCAGAGACGATCACTGGAAGTGAGTCTTTCCCTGATGGCGGCTCTGTGCCCCATGTCTCTGCCTTTATATTCCTTCTGGGCCCAGTTTTCTGTCCGCCGGACCTCACCAACCCCTCCCACTGCACGGACGGTCTGCATTCATTGATGGGAGGCCAAGACTGTTCCTGGGCATCTCATGTCTTCCAGATCTACTTAGTGACCTGATATTACTTAAAACACACCTTCAAAAAAATAGTAGTGGATACTTGGCTGTAAAATGTAAAAATTTCACCCCTTGTGAGAGCATGAATGGACATGGAGAATATCATGCTAGGTGAAACAAGCCAGTCAGAGAAAGACAAATATCATAGGATTTCACTTATATGTGGAATCTAATGAACAAACTGAACTAACAAGCACAATCGAGACAGACCCATAGAGACAGAGCACGCTGATAGCTCAGGGCCGAGGAGGAGGGTTAAGCAGTGGAAGGATCAAGCAAAAAAGACTCATGAATGTGGACAAAGTGTGGTGATTATGACAGGAATGGGAGGTATAAGAGGGATAACTGTAATGGAAAAAATACAATAAAAATTAATTCCAGAAAAAAGTAAAAAAGGAGAAAAATAGATGATGCCCTGAAAGGCTGCCATTTGGAACCAGATTTAACCGTGAAATCTGAAAGCCAATTATGTGTGGTGAGAATGGACACCACTGGGAAATGGGGTGTGTGGACTACCCAGCTTCCACCACTCACATGCTGGAGGGCAGTGGGTGAGTCACTCCATCCTAACCAGTGTCAGAAGCAAACAAACTGTGTGTACCAAAGATGACAGTACCTGTCAAGAATCATTCTAATAGTGCCAATTAGAAGAGGGCTGGGGAAAATAATGTATAGAAAGTACAGTGTCTGGTATTGAGCACATTTTAACTCGTTTTCCTGGTTGTCTGATTCAACCACAATGAAGGAACGACTGTTTAGCCACTACATGCACCTCGCCATATGCCGTTGGTCTCTGGCAGAAGTGGAGAGATGGAAGACGTTGTCCATACACACACTTTGTTCCACAAGCTGATGCAGGAACCCAGCTGGGTGGGACCAAGTCTGGACCACTGTGGGTCAGGAAAGGGGGTGCTGCCTGGGAGGGGGCATCACATGGCAAGTGCTTACAAACACAGGCTTTGGATTCACACGGACCTGGGCTTCCTTCCTATCACTGTCCCTTGTATGCCATGAGGACAAATGAACCTCTCAGAGCCTTAGTGTCCCCTTATGGGGTCAATCCTACCTGTCTATAGATGGCTGTAGGGACTCAATGGGACAGTGTGTATAGAAACCTCAGACTAATGTCTGGCACTGCTGGGCTGGTGGGGTCAGAGAACTATTCCTGGAAGGGTGGGTCTTGGGGACAGGCAGGGGTCTTGAACTATAGGCAGAGTGTGCAGATGTAGAGAGCAGGTGGGGAGGAGTTCCAGGTGAGAAGCGTGTTGTGACTGAGGCTCCTATGCCCACAGCTGAGGCTTCTCAAAAGCAATGGGTCACTAATGCCTTGTGCTAATGGTCCCTTTCTGCACCCCCCAAACCAGAAAGAGGCCTGTGTCACAGGAGGAGCTGGACACAGGGCGGTGAACCTAGAAATTGTGGCATCCCATCTGTGACCTGCTTTCAAAAGTCCCCAGCCCCTTGTGTGATCCTGCCTAGTTCATGCTCAGTAGATACCTGGTCACTGGACCATGGAGGAACTGAGCTTAACAAATAGTGGCAAAGGCTGTGCACTGCACTGTGTCTTGTTGATTGTCTCCAAGTACAGATGGCAGCCTATGAGCCACCAGGTCTGCAAGATGAACTGGGTTGTGATGCTGAGGAGAGAGGGCCATGTGCTGCTGTTGCCCACACTATCTCTGTCCCATCCCACCCCCACCCCGCCCCCCGCTGACTCTTTGCCCATATCAGAGCACCATATTGCTACTCTCTGCTTCTGTTGGCAAAACCTTTCTTTTCACCTTGGTACCTACCATAGCACCTGATACATATTTTCACTTTTGGGAAGATTGTACCTTAAATCCTATGTTAAAAGCTTAGGTATTCTTGTTGTTAGAAGGAACCTTATAAAAAATCTGTTTGTAAATGGGAATATTGCTTTTGGGAGTGACCTCCTAATTTGTATCATTGGATCACAGGATAGAGAGAGACCGTTGGACTGAAGTCTATGATCAGAAGCCTATGGTATAGAATTCAGGGGTGTCAAACTCATTTTCACCAGGGGCCACATCAGCTTTATGGTTGCCTTCAAAGGGCCGAATGTAATTTTAGGACTGTATACATGTAACTACTCCTTAACAGTTAAGCAAGAGCTCGGCACTGCCGCCAGGTAGAAACAAGGTGCTGGGCCTCATAAAACAAGGTGGAGGGCTGGACTCAGCCCAAGGGCCTTGTGTTTGCCACCTGTGGTATAGATGATCTTATCTACTAAGGTCTGAGTTGACTATTCCTCACCCTGATTATTCACTTCTATTTCAAATCTCCCAAGCTTTCAGTGCTCAGTGCAAGCATTGCCAGTAACCTGTAAATGCTGAGATGGTAAGGTCAAGGCTGCAAAAATACCCAGGGGGTATGAGCCATCCAGCCAAGGGCTTGGTGAAAGGAAACCCAGATGGAACCACAGCTGAAGTAACAGTAGATCAGTCAGAAGTGATGCTTTGCTCTACAATAGGATTCCTACAATGGAAATTAAACAACTCCTACAATAGGATTGAATACTACTCCTGCACAGCATTTAAATATTTGGTAGAAGCTGTGGATTAACAGTCTGAAAATACTCTCATAACTTATAGATGACTAATAAATATCACAATGAAATGAATTACCAACTTTTATATTGGGGAGGATGGGAAAAGGTAGAGATGGGGAAAGATGAAAAATATAAAAATAAAATAAGTAATCCCTGATGTTTGCATCTCCCAGATGATAGTGTAAGTACACGGAATAAGGATTCGATTTACAAAAGGTCTCTTGGTCACCCATCAATAGGGAATATATTTATTGTCTAAAGCAAGGTACACAAGATACATTTAACTGTAGAGTCACTTTGTGTGTGGTGCAGCAAGTTGCTTTAAGAGATGATGCTACTACAGGATTTTTGAAAAATAATGATTCAGCTTAATTCAACTACCCTTACCAAATGCCTCCTCTACACCAGGCCTGTAGCAGGCATGTTGAGGGCTAAAGAGATAAATAAGATAGAGGCTGTGCCCTCTAGAAACTCCTGGTTGGTGTGAGGAAGATTTGAAAACAATCTAATGTTAAAGTTGAAAGTTTTAAAAATTATATAGGAAAACAGAGGAGGCAATAGTAATGAAGAAAAGGAGAAAAAAATAAAACATGATTTCATTCCATTAAAGACTGACCACCTAATTCCAGGTGTGAAGCCAGAAGAATTTTTTTCTGTCCAGATGAGTGAGGCCTTACCTAAGGAACACAAGCGTAGTGGACTCTGGTCCTCTGCTGGTCCAGTGGGGTGGGAGAGGGGGGCGGGCATGTCTCGAAAGTGGAGGTTTTATGGAGAAATGAGTGAGAGCTGGGGTGTTCTGGCAGCCTACAGGCCTCCAGGAAACAGACTCCTTCCCTTCTGCCAGGGGGCAAGGAGCAGTTCTGAGGAGCCAGCCTCGGTCAGCGCCACAGCAGGAGGCGGACCGAGGACACATCCTGTCCTCTGTCACTGCCCAGGAGAGCTGACCTCCGGATCTCCTCTTTTATGGGACCCAGTGAATATCGTCCTGACTGCTGTTAAGAGTAGCCAATCACACCAGGATGTGCTGCCCGGACCCAAAATGTCTACCAATCTTGTAAGAACAGAGAGCTAATGTGAAATCATATTTCCACATTTCAGTCGTGGTAGGTGAACCCAAACTGCATCAGCTACTTCTACAATTAAAGCCCATAGACTTCAGCAGACTTAGAAATCATCTGGTAACCAAAGAAAACAGGTCTTATTCAAAGCCATCTTTGTTCAGAGGTGAGGCTGTGCCCTAACCCACTCACCAAGGCAAACAGTCACTCTTACGCAACGAGGGTGCATTTGCAACAGTACAAATGTCATCTGACCGGGGGCCAGTTAGTTAAACCAATATTGGGATTTCAGAAACAGAGTAAGAACTCAGTAAGTATTAGCTAAGGGCTTTGCAAATATTATTTCATATAATCCTCATACTAGCTCTGTACAATAGGTACTATTGTCCTGTTTTATGGAGGCATGAACTAAGGCTCAGAGAGGTTGAGTAAACATACCAAGATCACTCAGCTTGTAAGTGGGGAAACCCATATTTGACTGTCTGATCCAAGAGCCCCAACTCTTATCGACTTCACCACATAGGTCAGGGCTTGATGCTTCTGACCTGAAGGACGATGGAACGGGAATAAGTTAATGTTTTAGAGCCTCAGCAGTGTCTGCCTGGCAGTTACCGGTAAAGAAGCTGCATGCTGATGTGTCAGAAGCATGGCCCCATGGGTGTAGCTGCAAGAGTCCGACCAAGCGAAGGACAAATAGCAACTCTCTCTCGGTGGGTGAATACGCAGTGGGTAAATGTATGGATGGATAATTAGGTGAGTATTGCTTTTCTAATAAGGAATTAGGAAATGGTTCCAAAACAAAAAGCAAAAAACTATTCCCTTCCATTCAGGGATTCAAGTTAAGTACCTGGTCACCACCAAGCACATTAAGACTTCCTCACCTGGCACCACATACAGAGCATTATGTAGGGGGTCTGCGGGAAGGGTGACGGTCTGCCAGGTGTTCGAGACACAACAGGTAGTCCTAAGTCACGACTCAGAGTGTGGGTGAGGGGCTTGTGGAGTCCATGTATGACCAGGTAACAGTCTGTTTATAACCAGGGGGCTTGATTGAAACTAGCTGGCTGACTGGATATGGACTTTGGGACCTCGCCTTCCATCACAACTTTGATTCATTAAACATATAGCTCTAACTGAGAAAGCCCATGGTAACACTCAAGCCACGTTATGTAATACCAAGGCATAGTCAGTGCCAAGAAGAATAGCAAGAAATAAAAGCCTGTTTGATTCATGTGCCAGAGTGGAAGTATGGTTTGGTCTCCCACTGTCCAGCATGGTTCTACATCCTGCTGGTACTGGCTCAAATCCAGTTCTAACACATCCCCTCCCTTCACCAATGAAAGGTTACTTGAAGCTAACATCTCCTCCATGTCAGCTGAGTCTGGGAAAGCAGAGGCTGAGACAGATTTAGGAGTGTAAAGGGTTTATGGAGGAGTAACCCTTATGAAAGGAAAAAGGAGGAAGCGGGATTAGAGAAGAGGAGAGGCCAGACCAACATGCAGACCTGACAAAGTCTCCATGGGCTCTCCGGGGAGCTCTGGAGCTTTTTAGAAGAGTCCTGTGTTGGGCAGAAATGAATAGGACCTTGTTGCACAGTCCTGCTCAGTCGTGGACTCAGCACACGCCAAAAAGACCAGTATCTCACTCAGCTCAAGAGTTGAGGCAAATCTGAACAAGTTCACAGTGGAGGCTGTCAGCTAACCACGCTCCTCACTGCTGGCCCGTGAGCCCCTCCTTGAGGAGAGAATGTGAGTAATGCATCTCTACGTTGGGCGCACCATCCTCATATCCAGAAACAGGGAGGCTCTTCCAATGAAGAGTGCTCTTCCTACATGGAGTAGGGGGGCAGGGGCGGAAGCAGAGCCCCTTTCCTTCTTTTCTAGTTTGAAATTTCTGCCACGACACAAGAGTTCCCCAGAGGTAAGAAAACCAAGAACTGCAGTGATTGTTGCTTCCAGATCCACTCATTAAATTAAGCAAGAATTTGTGTGCGTGTGGCCCCTGGTTACCCCGTGAGCCGAATGGGGCTCTCAGCAGCACATCTTTAGCCCGATGCTGCTGACACCCCCAGGAAGAACAGCAAAGGGAGGGGAAAGGCAGTTTGGACAGTGGGGAGAGTAATGATATGTCTTGGCTCTTGGACCCTCGGGGGAAAGGGCCAAGGAGCCCCAAAGATGAAAATCATCCATGCTACAATTTTGCCATAGGCTAGACCTCATTCGAAAAAGAAGAAAACCTGTTTCAGACCACCAGTGTGAGCATTTGATGCAATTACTTATGGGAAGGGCTTGGCACAGTGCCTGGCACATAGTATGGTCAATTAATGGAAGCCAGTCATATTCTCTTATTTTGATCAACTTAGTCATCAACAAACAGTCATCGTTGGCTTACTATGTCCAAGCACTGAGTACACTGCTGATCAGAATAGCTCCAATCCCTGCCCTTTCCGAGCTTCTACGGTAGTCTGTTTATTTTTTTTAACCTTCACATCCCATATCCTATAAGTTCAGGAACAGGACATGAAGAAAAAGACCAAATTAGGTGCCTCTCTCGTAATCATAGCCCCGACAAAAAAAAAATCCCTAATGTCTTTCTTCTTTTCCTCACGCTGCAGTCCCTCCCTTTCCTTCTCTGCCTGCTGAGACCTCCCCTCTGACTGCTGAGACCTCCCCTTCCTCCAGGGCCCAGCTCCAGAATCCGTCTCTCTGCCCCACCGGACACCCACCTGTCTCACCCCTTGCACACCCCCAGAGCTTCGCTCTCGCAGCCGTGAACACTTACCGGTTCTTGCTGTTGTCGAAGTGTAATTCTCTGAGTTAAAATTCTTCGGGCTCATGCAACTCTTTCATGATTGTGTAACTCATGTATGACCATAGAGTGAGCACATGTCAAAGATTTAATTAACTCATTGAAAGACCCGGAAAAATGACAGCTGTTCCAAAGGAGGATATGAGAAACTCATATATATATATATATATATATATATATATACACACACACACCAGCACAGTTAAAGAACCAGTGCTGAAATAAAATTGCTAAGTTAGACCCAGAGTGGTCAATGTCTTCCAGGGCAATAAATCCACAAGCTTTAGGGTCAGCTCCCGATGGGACGGAAATCATTTACATATTTACCAGACCAAAATAAATTGCATCTTTTCAGTTTTTTATTAACTAATCTCAAGCTTCACAGAGTCTGGCCTTTAAATAACAGTAAATAGTCAGTTAAACAGTTACATTTCCTAGGAGAACCAGATGGTCCTGAAAGGGCTAATTATTAATAGAGCTGTGGTATGACTTCAGTAGGGCATGTCCTTACCTTTTTTCAGTTTTTGGATAATTTTTAAAAACCACAGTTTCTATGGTTGCACATATGTTGGAAAGGGAATAGTGAAAAGATAATTGGCCTTGGAGTCAGAAAAACCTGGGTTCAAACCCGGTCCACGTTTAACCTCTGTGAGGTTGCTTCCTCAAAGAGTTGTTTAAGATAACGTGAAAAGGTTTAGAAAGTGCTAGAATGCCATAGGTTCCCAGTATTGCTTCCTTCACTTTCTTCCTGTGTTCTTTAGAGGATAGAGACCATGTTTTCGATTTCTCGTGTTCTCCTCCAACCCTGGCCCCTGCCCAGACCAGTTCCAGTAGAATGTGTGAGCTCTATGTAGTAGGCTTTCAATGAATCTTCTCTGTTTTCCGTATGTCTTGCCTGTGACTTAGGCAGGTTCCTTCCCTTCTCTGAGCCTCCATTTACCCATTGATAAAGAAGGAGAAGACTCAGTGGTTCTACAGGATGAATAGCACTGCTCCCCGGGTAGCACTGGGAATGAGGCAGCAGGTATGGCATCATTTGTGTAGTTGTTGCTTGCAGGAACTAGAGGGTACTGCTGACGGTTGGTGGCCAGGATCCAGGGATGATGGCCTTTCTGCAGTGCCTAGGTCAGCCCCCCGACAAGGGGGAGCTGCTTCATTACACACATCAAAACAGTGCACCGCTTTGGGAAGCAGTGAATGATCTCTGCGAGGCTTCTCGAATTTCACCTTCTGAAAACAAATCAAAATTCACCTTCTGAAAACAAATCCATGCTTTTCTAGTGTTTTTTTTTTCCTCTCCAAACAATCAAAGATACACAGCTACACCACAAAGCCCTATGTTGCTTAACTGAAAGTATATTTTGTTTCCCAACATTTTAGCAATTCCCCAGATTACACTTTGTCTGAAATGCAGCCTCATTTTGTAGACCCATTCTTGGCTAAAAATAGTTCTTGCTTTATGCGGTTGTTAGCCACACCGAGCTGATCTACTTTCTGGGGAAAGTGATTGCTCCAAGGCACCACCACTGGGTGGAACCAGCTAGTCTTTGCTGAGTGCCAAGGTCCAGCGTAAAGAATAGCAGGCAAGCCCTGACAGCGTGGCTCAGTAGGTTGGGCGTTGCCCCACAGATCAAAAGGCTGCAGGTTCAATTCCTGCTCTAGGCACATTCCTGGGTTGTGGGTTGGGGCATGTACTCTCGTACTGATCAATGTTTCTCTCCCTCTCTGTCTCCTTCCCTCCCCCTCTTTCTAAAAGTGAATAAATAAAGTCTTAAAAAAAAAGAATCACAGGGAAGTTGAAGACAAGGCCCTGCCAGAAGGAGGGAAAAAACAAGCCTATTTGAAAGTAACTAAAGAGAAAGCTGGAGGCCTGCTAGTTGCATTCTGAGTGAGTCCCTTCCAAAAACCTCTTCTTTTCATCCCTGTGCCGGTGGCCTTGGAGCATCAGACAATTAATTGTCTTGCGGTCTCCCCGCACTGGACACTCCAAAGGGCGCACAGCTGGGTTCCAGGCCCCTCTCTTTTCTGTTTCCTCCCAGGCCTCCCGTGCAGCAGGCACATTTAAATAGATACACTTTTAAAATCAAATCTAGTTTTCCTATCAATTTGCCCTTTTGCCTGGCATCCTGAAAAGAAGCAAGTCCTTTGAGCCAAGGAACTATATATTTTTTCTTCTGGAAGAGCTAAATCTGCTTAAGTCTCCTGAGATTCTGGGGGGTGGGTAGGTCACTGGAGAGGAATGGGGGGTGGGGAGGGGGAGAGAATGGGGACAACTGTAACTGAACAGAACAAAAAAAAGAATTTTTTTAAACCAAACTATCAAATAAGGAGAATGAGGTAACCACAAGGTGGCAGAAGAGAAGAGATTTTTATTTTCCTCCAGAAGAAGTAATGAGGAAAAGAGTTTAGCCGTACTCACTTAGAAAGTTGTTTTGTGCTGTATTGATAAGAATCATGTTAACACAATTCAATAGTTGAAATCTAGTCATCAGTTTAAATGCCTATATTTTTTAAGATTTTATTTATTTTTTAACAATCCAATTTTTTTTAAAGAGTGTATTTATTTCTTTTTAGAGAGGGTGAGGCAGGAGACAGCATAGGAAGAACTCTGAGACTGCAATACTGTTACTGGCCAGCCTCTAGCACCCTGGTTGCCAGGAAACGCCTTTTACTAATTAGGTAGAATAAAAAGTAAACCGAGGCAGGCAGGAGGAAGGAGACAAGTCTCACATGCTGACTCAGCAGTCCTGAGCCTGGTCTGATAATACTGCCAGATGTTCCAACATCACAAGAAACACTGTGTTAGCAAAAAAGAAGGGAAGCCTTGAAATTCTATGTAGCGTTCCCACTCTCTGGGAAAGAAAGCCTTGAAACTGTGCTTTTATCCCAAGGCCTGACTGCAGGAGAGGGTACACAGTGCCCAAAGAGCGAACCCATAAAACAACTTTGGTTAACTGCCTACCTCTGGTCACTATCTGTTTTACAAGGGAGTCCCTGATGCTTACAGAAAGAGCCCATAAATAACTTTGGCAAGTGCCCCAATCTTAATTAGCTGCCTCCTGTCACATATCTGCTTTACAACAAGATGAACAAATGGAGTCTGAAGCAACATAAGGATTTGCACTAACAGACCCCCACACATACCTAAGTTCAGGTAGTCACATTCCCCCAGGAAAACTGGCACCACATTTATCCGTTAATCAATATAGAACTTTTTTTCTTCTATCCTGCCAACTATAAAAGTCGTCAGAACAAAAGGTGCGCTCTCTCTCTCTCTCTCTCTCTCTCTCTCTCTCTCTCTCTCTCTCTCTCTCTCTCTCTCTCTCTCTCTCTCTCTGGCTCAGGGCACTCTTGACGTTCTTGTCTCCCAGGCTACTGGGCTTCTGGTCACTGGACTCAGGCTGCCCCGGGGCTTGCCACCCTGGTCTTCAGCTACTCTTACTTTTGCCATCCTGCTTTGCCTTGAAACTTTGCCGTTCACCCTTTACTCTACCCAGTCCCGTTCTCTTCCATGGGAATGAGTCGCTAATAAACTGATTATACACTAATAGATTTGCTTATCTGTAATTCTTCACATGCGTCAGCAAGAAGAACCAGGTCTCTCCCGTCAACAAGGGGAAGGGAAGGAGAAAGAGAGGGACAGAAACATCAATGTGTGGTTGCCTGTCGTGTGCCCCCTACTGGGGACCTGGCCTGCAACCCAGGCATGTGACCTGACTGGAAATTGAACCAGAGACCCTTTGGTTCACAGGCCAGCCCTCAATCCACTGAACCACACCAGCCAGGGCCTAAATGCCTATTTTGAAGGAAACAAATTTTCAACTTTGATTAACTCGATGTGAAGTGGAACAATTTTGTTAGTTGTTAGTTTTCGTAGCTTTCTCCAATTTAGAAATTAAAGCAAACAGCCAGGATTGTAGTCAGGGAATACTACCCCAAAACACATTAGATATTAAGCTAAATCATTTAAAATTTCCATTTTATAGGTCAAAAAAGAGTTGAAGATAGGCAGTTTCATATGGTTCAACCAAACCATATGAAAGTAGAGATGCTACTGCTGGCATTAATGATTTCCTTCTCCTAACATGTAATTTGAGAGCACATTTTATTATTATTATTATTATATTAATGTGAGAAACTGAAAAATGCCAAAAGAAATGCTTAAAACTGGACTGTTAAGTGTGCCTATGTGAACTTGGCAATTACTAGTATTTCTTAGTTTCTGCCCTACTTAAATAGGTTTTATTTAGAATACAAAAGAAACTGAAATAGTTTGTGTATATATGGAACAGATTTTTTAAATTTTATGTTTTAAAAATGTAAGTTTCTTCAAATACACTATTTACAAATTTACTACCACACATTTTGTTGTTTTTAATTTTTTCTCAAAGAAACTATGCATATACATTTCTATATTTATGTCTATCTACATAAGTATATACCTCTCACAGAAGAAGAAGTATATATCAATGAGGATATGGGAAAATAGGAAGCCTCATGTGTGCTGGTGCGCTCTAGAAAGGAGTCCAGCATTTCCAGAGAAAGTTGAACACAGAGTGAACCCACGACTGAGTGGTCTCGCTCCCGGGCATGTACCCAAGAGAACTGAAAACATGTCCACACAAAACTTTATAGCACCTCAAATGTTTATGGTGGCACTATTCACGATAACCAAAAAAACAGGAACCACCCAAACACCCGCAAGTTAATCGCTGGATAAGTAAATGTGGTGCATCCATACGATGGCGTTCCATTCAGCCACAAAGAGAGATGAAGTGCTGATAGGTGCTACGGCACAGGTGAACTTGAGAGCATTATGCTAAGTGAAGGCCAGCCACAAAAGGCCACATATTCTGTGGTTTCACTGACGTGAAAAAGCCAGGATAAGTAAATGCACAGAAAGAGAATGTACATGCGTAGGTGCCAGGGGCTAGAGGGAGAAGGTCAGTGGGTAGTTCATGCTAATGTGTTAGGGGGTTTCTTTTTGAAGGGATAAAAATGTTCTGATATTAGACAGTGATGATGGTGCACACCTCTGAACATACTAAAAACCACTGAATTGTATACTTTAAAAGAATAAATTACAGCCCCAGCCAGGTAGCTCAGTTGGTTAGAACATTCTCCTGATATACCAAGGATGGCAGTTAGATCCCTGGTCAGGGCATATAAAAGAATCAAGCAATGAATGCATAAATAGGTGGCACAACAAATCAATGCCCCAAAGAGTAAATTATATGTCTGTAAATTATATCTCAGTAAAGATTTTTTTTAAATTGCATTGAGATGTTTTTCTAATCCTCACCTGAGGTTATTTGGTGGGGGG